AATATTGATGAAAGTGTTAATTTCTTGGGTGTGTGCCTTGACAGTCATCTCAAGTGGAAACAATATTCCGATAATTTAACAAAAAAATTAAGTACTGCAATTTTCATGCTTAGAAAATTGCAGCCTACGGTGAGTGGACAAGTTTTACGTATGGTTTACTTTTCTCATGTGCAGGCTCAACTTAATTACGATATCATTTTTTGGGGCTCTTCTTCATTAATGAAAAGTATATTTACTGTACAAAAAAGAGCATTAAGAGTCTTGTTAAGATTAGGGCCAAGGAGTTCATGTAGGGAAGGCTTTAAGACAACGGGCATACTTACTGTCCCCTGTTTATATATATATTTCATAGTCTTGTTTGTACTCAAAAATCCTGATATGTATCAGGTGAATAATGGCATACACAAATTAAGTACTAGGTGGCATAATAAACTACATGTTTCCTTTGTGAGATTATTTTCCATTCAAAAGAGTGTGCATTTTTCATCCATTAGAATACTTAATAACTTGCCACACAATACATATTCCTTGAAAGACAATATTAATACTTTTAAACAAAGGCTAAAAGATTATCTTATTTTAAATGCATTTTATTCGGTAGATGAATACATGGCATACAGGCAAGCATAATACATTATTGTTGTCTTTCCAAGATTATGTATTATCTAGATTTGTTATATGACTGCTTTTTATTTTATTATTGTGTTTTTATTTTATAATTCTTGAATATTTTAATTGTTGAGACTAGATTGCATTTTGCAATGTCATTTTGCTGACGAATTCAATATCCAGTCCGGTTCCCGGACAATGGATCTGTGAAATTATGTATCTATGTATGTATGTATGTATATCATTACACGCACTAGCAGCATTAAGGACCTAGGTATTTTCTTCAATTCAAAATTGTATTTTCACAAACATGTTGATTACGTATTTTCTGAATGCATAAAGCTGTCAGGCCTTATTCACTCCATAACCTACAGATTTTCCTTCCTGGTGTGTCTGTATTATATTTTACTTTAGTCAGGTCCAAGTTGGAGTATGCCTCAGTACTTTGGAACTCCATTACTTCGACTGATGCCAATAAGCTTGAGAGCATCCAGCAGAAGTTTGCATACATCTGTTTTTATCGTTTCTTCCCTTGTATTCCATATAATTATACAGATGCCTTAGAGAAATTAAGTCTACAATCTTTATGTAAACCGAGACATCACCTTGATGCACTTTTTTTATTCAGGTCTATCGTGGCCTTAAATCTTGCTCTTCCCTTTTGGAAAACGTTGCCTTCATCTTCCTCCCAGCAACCCTAGGGGCTTCTCATTGTTTGATGACTGTCCCTCTAATAAACACTGTCCTGGTCAGTGCGCCTATGCTGCCAGTGCGAGGGGTAAAAATCTTGACATATTTGCAGTTAGGGCTGTTTCTCCCAATCATATTTAGAATGTAAATAAATAAATAAATATGGAATAAATTAATATGTTTATACATCAATCTATTAAAACATGATTTGTTTTATATTTTATTGCTGCCATGATTATATATTATATTATATGCCATGATAATAATAATAATTCTATCAACACAAATCAAACCTATCATTGAGAAGTAATATATTATATATTGTATATATTACTTCTCAATGATAGGTTTGATTTGTGTTGATAGAGTTATTATTATTATTATTAAATTGCAATGGTTACAGGATCCAAGCAAAATAAATAGGGATAATCTGAACAATATAAGACGCGAAACCAGCATGCATTTCAGGAATAAAAGAGGGAATATCTGAAAGACAAAATTGATGAACTTGAAATGAACAGTAACAACAAGAACATTATAGATAACCGTACAAAGGAATAAATTAATTTAAAAGGGGTTACCAACCTAGAAGTAACTTAGTGAAGGATGAGAATGGTGATCTGCTTGCAGATTTCCACAACATTTAGAATAGGCGGAAGAACTATTTCTCTCAGCTATTGAATGTACATAGGGTCAGTGATGTTAGGGAGATAAAAATACATACAGCTGAGCCATTAATACCTGATTCCAGCCCTTTTGAGGTTGAAATGGCTACTGCAAAATTGAAAAGGTATAAATCGCTGGGTAGTGATCAAATACCGGCAGAACTTGTTCAGGCAGGAGGCGAAATATTACGTTCTAAGATCCATAAGCTTATTACTTCTATTTGGCATAAGGAAAAATTGCCTGATCAGTGGAAGGAATCTATTATTGTACCAGTTCACAAGAAGGATGATAAAACTGACTGTAGTAATTATCGGGGGATATCACTGCTATCAACTTCATACAAAATTTTATCCAACATTCTTCTCTCAAGGTTAAGTCTATACATAGATGAAATTATTGTGGATCATCAGTGTGGGTTTCGATGTAACAGATAAATTACAGATCAGATCTTTTGCATTCATCACATACGGGAGAGAAAATGGGAGTACAATGAGACAGTACATCAGCTACTGATAGACCTCAAGAAAGCCTATGATTCAGTTAGGAAGGAAGTATTGTACAATATTAGAGTTTGGAATACCCATGAAACTAGTCAGGTTGATTAAAATGTGTTTCAATGAAACATATGGTGAAATTCATATAGGTAAATATTTGTCTGATAATTTCCCTGGCCGGAATTGTCTGAAACAAGGAGATGCTTTATCACCACTCCTTTCCAACTTTGCTTTAGAATATGCTATTAGGATGTTCAACAAAACCAGGTGGGACTGAAATTGAATTGGACACATTACCTGTTGGTCTATGCTGATTATATGAATCTACTGGGAGATAATATATATACTACAAAGAGAAACACACGACTTTAATTAACGCTATTAAGAAGGTTTTTTTTTATTGCTAGTGGGGTGGGACTAAGTCCTTTGTACTGTTGCCACTTCTGGCCTATTGTACCAGCCCCATATGATAGGTGAGGGTGATTGTGGAGCAATTGGTGGAATGAAGATTGGCAGGGGAAACCGAAATACTTGGCGAAAACCTGCCCCAGCACCACTTTATCCACCACAAATCCCACTTGACCCGATCCGGGATTGAACCTGGGCCACCGCGGTGGGAAGCCAGCGACTAACCGCTTGAGCTATGGCGTGGCCCTAGTAAGGAGGTTGGTCTAGAAGTAAACACAGAGAAAAACAAGTATATGTTGCTGTCTAATCACCAAAATGCAGGGCAAAATTACGACATAACCATAGGTAACAGATGTTTTGGAAATGTGTTACAGTTCAGATATTTGGGAATGACTGTAAAAAATTAAAACTTGATTCAGGAGGAAATTCAAAGAGGGAACTGAGCTCGGGTAATGCTTTGTACCATTCATTCCAGAACCATTTGTCCTTGTGTCCTTGTGTCTGCTGTCCAAAATCATAAAGATTTCAATATACAAAACTAATTTTGCCTGTGGTTCTGCTGACACAGTCGGATGAAAATTCGTAACTTGTCTTCGAATTTGAGGTCCTAAAAGATCCACCAATAAAAAAAAAACTTTCAATTCTCATTCAGTAAAATTATTTGATCAGTTCTGGATCATGATTAAATTCTTTCGAAACAATATAAGCACCCGAGTTTAAATTGTTGCAAAAGAAACTAATTTTTCCTTCTGTCCTGTCCTCTCCTTTTATGCCGTCTCAACCACCACCATATCATTACAGGATGAATATTATTAGAAGTGCACGAACTTGGCGGGTAAGAACACTCATTTGAGATCCTTGAGATCTTGAGATGATGTGAGCAACTAATTGAACGTAACTTTCCTCAGTGTGCGCCTGCTAATTTGGAAAACAGTTGCCTGCTTACAATCGTCTTTAATTCTCGGAAATCGCGGTTGCGTTGAGGTTGCCAGTTTCCTTGGTGTGCACCCTGCCTAAGAGGAGGATGAGATTGGCAGGATATGTAGCAAGTTCGGGGGGGTGGGGGGTAGAAAATGAAGGAATGTAGGATTTTGGTGGTAAAGCCGGAAGGATAGAGATTACTAGGAAGACGGAAATGTAGGTTGGATGAGAATCTTAAGCTGGATCTGAGAGAAATAGGATGTGGCGATATGGACTGGATTTTTCTGGCTCAGGAGAGCTCTTGCGAACATTAAAATGAACCTTAGGGTTCCATAAAATGTTGGGAAATTCTTGAATAGAGTAACTGATGGCCCTGCGAGATTGATTCAGATCCATGGATTTCGGTAGTTCGTTACATTCGTCCATGTTAGTCACTTAGTAATCTTTGATTGGGACCGACTAGCGATGCTTACCTGTTGGCCTGTTGGTGTGTGCGGGTGTGTGCGTGCGCGTTTGACTGTGGTTAGTAATCCTAAAATGGGTTCGAAGAGAGATGTAAAATAATATAACTGATTTATAACGATATTCCTATAAAATTAATGATGTTTGAAGTTAGGTGTTGTATCCGTGTGTTCTGTGTGATATACATTTATTATTTGTATTAATATGCGCTAAGAAGTGGACTCTTGGTAGGTTATGTTGTGTTCTTCTTCGATACATTTTTTATATGTCTAACTTGTAGTAACAGCGATGTAGGCATTTCACTAAGAAAAGATACTTGGAATTAGCCATTTGAAAGTGTCACTCTGTCACGTTTCTTAAAAAACTGGGCGTTTACGACAGTACTGGAGTCTCTTGAAGTGTAAAAAGATTAATATGAGTTAGATACCAACCTAGGATACATTTATTGAAGTTTGAGAGTGATTGCCTGATGAGTGCATCATAGAGAAGTATATAAATACGTGCAAAAAAATTCTAGTAAACAGGTTGTGGAATAAGTTAGAATATAGTTCCATTATGAATGTAACATTTGTTTGTTATTGTATTACTAGTTACACAAATTCTGAAATAATTTAATTTATGTTGAGAACACACAGATTATACAGTGGCCGGTCACTGAAGTCCATACAACATTTCATTATTTCTCTGCTTTTCTAGATACATCGAAAGGAAAATGTATCCATCAACAAGTAACGAGATTAACAGTAGTACTACTGATGCAACTAATAATGTTAGGCATACGACACAAGATACTGCTAGTGGTAGTAGCAGGCAAAGAACCTCCAGGAGTTTGTATGTTACACCAAAATATTCATCATGTAGCTCTTCCACCACTAAAGGTATTGTTAAATTACAGAATTCCTGTATGGAATTTGAAGTTCTGATGGTAATATGTATAAAGTCGTGATTTTGTTAGTCATACACAATAGTGTCACTATACACTTGTCATTATGCTGATTGGATGGTGAACATGTAACTGATTTAAGTACAATGCTACTGGATGTTACAGTACACAATTGTACTGAGAGGCCATTTTCTTGTGAAAAACTCTGCCCAACAGAGTTAAGTGTACATTTGTTTTTAGTAGAAGTCTCTGGATGTTTTTGGTGATAACTAAGTAATGATACTTGGCTGCTATGGCTCATTAGTCATGTGCACCATTTTAAAAATACAGTAGTAATTACATAATTCAGAACCATGTTTTATGCATTTTAAACAGATTCACCAGAAAAATGTCTTCCGTCACCTTCCATGGCAGGAATTCAAGATCTTAAGAGCTTATACTGCTGCAATATTCCAGAGAGCATGATGGACCGGGATCTTCTACATAATCACTTTCAACAGTTTGGCCATGTCATTCGAATATATCTGAGTATGAAACGAAACAGTTGTACTGTACACTTTGATAGCCATGTAAGCATATTTTTTTCTTAAAAGTAGAATATTGAGAAGTAAGAAATATTTGCTGTTGAAGTATTTGTTTCTATATGTGTGTGAACTTTGTGGCGCAGGTAAACAAAATTCGTATTTCATGTCACAGCCGGGTCTCACAAATGTAAATCTAGGAACCAGTTCCAAAAACTAGTAGCCAAATTGTAAAACAGAATGCCTCAGGTAAGAAATTTGCTCATTTTTATGAACAAAAGGACAAATAAAGCGTTCCTGCTTGGGTAAATCGAATGCACCATTGCTAGAATATGGGAAAGACATAATACCTTCTGCTTTTACTCGGACAAGTGGAGGAATGATGATAGGAGTGGCAAATAAAATGAATGGGAAAGGAATGTTGGAGAAAGATAGAAGGAGATAAAGGTATGAGGGGTTAGAGGAATGCAAGAAAGGGGGTCAGGGAAATGTTTTAATGTGGAGAAAGGGAAGGAAGGAGAGAGGAATGGACAAATAAAAAGAAATGGAAAGAAATAAGGTGGCAAAGGAAGGAAAAGGAGGGAAAGATTTGAGGTATGGAAGGCATAAAGGAAGGGAATAACAAAGTGATTTTGGCTGTCACTTTTTTGATGGAGCATGCAGTAGTAATAATATAACAGGAAGAAAATTCTAAAAACCAAGTGATAATTGTAGGTGTCATGACAACCTGGAACCCAGAATTTTGCAGGTCTGCTCACAGCATTAAATTGTCTTCGACAGTTACCATTTCAGAGTCAGAATCCAACAATATATGTATGCTCTCTGTTATGGTGGAAAAAACTGATCACTTCCCATATTATTTTTTTTTTTGCCAAGACTTCCTACAGAGACAAAGAGAGCAATATATATGGTATGATAAAATAATTTGCAGATTCATTTTTTTTCTCTTTGATAACTGCATTTACCCTCAATTCCATGCTCTCCTTTGAAATAATTCCCTCGTGTCTTGATGCAATGAAACCCTGGATTCATGTGTGGAAGTCCTGTTTTGAACTATGCAAGTGGAGTGTGCTTTGATTCTTGAATTGTGAGGTCTTTAGATCTCCTTCCCTTCAATGGAAACATGAGTTTTTGGGGGAAAAAAATATAACAGTTACATGGTGATAAATATAGGGATTATTGAGGGTGTGGGACGTCAGTAATGTCATTGTTAGGCAGAAATTTGCTCACAGACATAATTATGGTACACTTATCATTCAGCAGACAAGGCACAGATTTTGCAGCAGTCCACATATTCAGATCTTTTGTCAGAATGCTTTGCCTTGATCCAAATGGGATTATAACTTAGCCAAGCCACAGATGGTAATGTGATTGCTTTCATAAACAAGTTCATTGATTTGTGTTGCCATATTTCCATCTGTTTTGCTTTTGAAATGATGCCTTTAATGCTGTGCACTAAGTAATGTTGCTTCTCTTTTGAAGTTGAAAAAAATCAACCAAATATTTTAATTCTGCACATTGTTTCATCTATAAAAGCAAATTTTAACAACTCACTGGTCTCTGTAGCCATTTTGACTAAAATATAAATACAAAATTTATTTATTTACTTCATATCCATGGATCATTATACATGATATAGGATAAGTCAAATACTTTACAATACAATAAATAATAATAATAATAATATAATAAATAATATAATGATATAATAATATACTAAGATAATAATAAAATGATGATTCTAA